AATTAATTTCAGTACAACGCAGATGTAAGGATGTTGGATAATATGGGTCGATCAGCGCTATGGCATGCGCATACGGCGGGTGCATTTGACTGTGTGTCGATATTGCTGAACGCCGGTCTTGAGCCATCATTCGGAGTGCCGAACGGTAGCAGTGTTGCTGACATGATCACAGGCTCGTTGACGAGTCGTGAATACTACAGTCCACCTGAAGGTACAGTCATTATATCAGATGCAAAGTTGAGACGTCAGTCGGATGTGGCTTTGCGAAGGATAAACGCAGCTGCTAGTGGCGTTGCTCAGCAACAACAAACCGTCGTCACACCACCACAACAAGCGCCCATTCAGCCGTCACCACCACAGTTGAAGCACTCCAGTGCAGCCGGAAGCACTCAGCTGCCCCCAGCCCCACTATCGTCGAACGTCACCTCAAGCTCTCAAAGCGGAGGAGTTGGTGCCTCAAATGGTTATCATCAACGAGCAGCAGATGCGTTCGATCGCTTACCAGCCAGTGTCATATGATTGTTTCACGACAAACTTTCCCATACCCGTTGTCGTTCCACAACGAAAGTGTACCACGACAAAAGCTCAACTTCGAGCTTTTTTATAAAAGCCTTCGAGTGCGATGCTTCTGTCGTTTCATCTAATGAATACTGTACATATTTTTTGTGGTGTTTGTGTGATAATTTATACAAGTGCATATATATGAATAATGTATGTATATGTGTAACGCGATGCACTGAATATCATGCGAAATTTATGGTCGTTTTCCTTAATCATTCAAACCAGGTTGAATCGAAAGTGTTACTCTGGTCATTTTTAGTTATGTCATGAGATGCTGATAAGCTGAGTTCATCTATGACCTTATGCTAGCAAATGTAGTGAAGATTTACTCATCTCATCATTCATTGATGAGTTGGAATGTATGGAAGTTTTTGCAGTGAACTTAGATTGTTCTGCAGAAGCATTCGTTTGTATTGTTGATTCATTTGCAGCGTTGAAAAACGGTCGAGGAATAGTCTCAGTCTCAGAATCTGCGTATTCGCCACAATGTTCTTCTATTGATATTATCAAATCAGGTTTCTAATTAGGAGCATTCAATCGTTGG